CCAATAATGTCATACATCAAGGTTAATCTGTCTTACATCTATGGCCCTAACTAGTGACCATAGACTAGGTTCTCTTGCTACTCTTCACGACATAATCATCCATCTATACATGAGATGGGGTTATTGAGAGTGTCAAGATCATTCCTCAATCTAGGAGCCCTTACTTCAATACATAATACAACATAACCAACTTAGAATATTCTTCCTTGAAATTCCTTTCTCACATGATCCTTAAAATCCACACTTCACGAATTATTTGAGCATCATCATTACATCTCATACATAGTCATATTCATAACTTTATTTCCCTATACATTAAACAATTGGAAACACTCTTGCAAGTCATCAAAAGTCACATAATAACACAATTTCTTCATGGCATCTTGATACTCATATTTTGGTAAGGAAAAAAACTCTAAAACCCTTACCAACAGCTCTAAAAGGGTATAAAACCCCCCAAAACGACTTAAAGAACGTCAAAAGCTGATAATTGGAACCCCGGAACTCCCCCAAAATTGTTGTAGTGAAGTCTAGTAGCGCCCGGGCGCCCAGCGGCTGACACTCAACGCCCGGGCCACTGGAAAATGGGCGCTCAGCACCCTGTTTGGGCACTCAGCGCTATCAGTAGGTACCAAACTCAATTTTCTCACTTTGAACACTTTACTCCCAACTTCTAAATACCTCTAGGACCCTCCAGACCCTAAGAAAACTCTAAAAACATTGTTGTAACTTAAAATGACCCATTCAAACTCAATTTCATTTCTATAAGCTACCCAAACTCAACTCTACACTTTCTAATCTTCATACCAGTTTACCACCTGCATAAACAAGTCTAAATACACTTGCTAGCACTCTCCAAAACCTCAGTTTCATTATATCTATCATACTTTCCATTTCCAACCCTTAAAACCTCTAAATTTGACTAAAACTTAACCTATGAAGCCATTTACACTTTCGTAACAGATTGTACTGGTTTTAGCACCTAAACAAGTCAAAACAAGTGTAATAACAAACCTCTAAGCTTCCAAAATAGTGTATGCCATTACCTCAACATTTTACTACTCAAAACACTCATTTTACACCAAAAACACTTGAAATGATCAATCATGAACTATCCTTTTCTCTACATACAAAAGATGATTATAAATTCTTCAATCAAGCTACATAAGATATTTATTAATGATCCTATAAAATATAAATGATTAAATTTTTGTCTCACCTATATAATCATGTTATATTTTAATTTATATACAAATTTCATATTATTTATGTCAATCTATCTAACACTAAGCTAAAGTAGTTAAATATATTTTTTACATAACCAAGACTTTATTTTGGTGTGCACTAGTAAAAAAAGATGGATATTAACTCGTGTATTTGGCATCATTTTTGTTGACATCAAAGCATAAAATGACATGAGGACATTTTTGTAATTATCACAAACATATATGCCTGAGTTAAAAAAGAATGAAAGCCTAAAGGGGTTTATGGCTTCGGTTCTATAAACAACTAAGGTCAAATCCCTCTACAAATTTGACTTTTTAGTTGACTCATTTTTGAATTAGGTCTATGGTCTTGGTTGTTTAGAGAACTGAGGCCATAGAATCCTTATGCTTTGATTATGGTGCGAACCGAGACATAAAATAACTAAAAATATCGTTTTTTTTAAATTTTGTTGGGAGACTTTAGGCATCGATTGGTTCTTAATAGAACCGAGACAATAGACCCCTTATTGCTTCGATTAATAAAATAACTGAGGTAATAACATCTATTTCTAGGGTTAAATTTCGCAAAGTAACAAAGTCTCTTGCACATTTCTTCTTCGTTCTTCTTCATTTTCTTTATGCTACCTCCACTTTGCTTTCTTTGTTTTCCATTTTTGCGACCATCAACCTCAACATTTCTTCCATTTTTCTTTCATTTTACGTTGATTAAGTACTTTAGGTATGATTTTATTTCGGTTTCACCTATTGGTTTTGTCCACAAGTACTCTTTTGTGATGATCGTTTCGTTTCAGCACCACACCTACCTTCAAGGTTAGTTTCTTTTCATTTTAGCTTTTTGATGAACTTTCATTTTGTTTGGTTTGGTTTGGTTGTTTGTTCTTCATACACCATATACATCAAAACATAGGTATAGGTGAAAGTGAGAATATGGTAAAATGAACTCAAAATGTCCTGAAAAATTGTTGGAATGACTAAAAAATCATGAAAACCCTTCACAAAAATTTTAGCTCAAACACCAAAGTCTAACTGTTTTAAATATTTTTGCAAATTTTGAAAAAAGAAAAAATAAATTTTGAAAAATATAAAACAATATTTTTTGAAAAATCTAGAAGGATTACTCGTTATTATATGCAAGCAGGTATATTTCTGTAATATGATGCTTCTGTGATATGGAATGTTAAAGAATCAAAATTGTTATTTTTTTTAAAAAACAATTGGACTTTAGACAGTGATTGTGCTAAAAATCGAGGCAAAAAATAGTCTATTGTCTCGGTTCTGGATCCAACTGAAGTAGAAAAGAGTCTATTGTTTTGATTCTGGCTTCAACCGAGGTAGAAAATAATCTATAGTTTTGTATTCAATCGAAATAAAAGACCCAATTTTATTTTTGTTTACTGCTTTAAATTTTTTGAATTGGGACAACATCATAATTTTTTCTCTTCGATTTTTAAACCAAAACAATAGAATATTATCTCGCTTTTTTTACGTGGCCTGAATATTATCTTGGTTCTGAAACTACTACTATAATTCCAAAACTGTCATATGCCTTGTTGCACTAATGCTTATTCACTAAAACAGGCTAACTTTTAAGGTAATAGTTTTTAAACTTATATAGACTCCCTTGTTGAACGAAAGCAGCCAAATGCTAATTACAATCTAACATTGGTTTCTTTGCTATTTTTCGGACACAAACATTCGCTTATTTTTATGAAAGAAATTTAAAATAAAAATGTAAAACACTATAGAGATATATAATATAAATAATTTAAATCTAAAATGTATATTAGTATAAAATAACAAATACTAATTTTCTTTGCTCCCATGTGATGATCTTGCTTTCTATTTTTTATATATAGTAACAATTTAAGGTTCTTTCACTCAAAGCCAAACAATATTTTCTATTTTTAATATAATTAAAAAAACAAATTTTTATATTTTTAAAATAATTTTAAATATGTTAACTATTGTGTTATTTTTAATTTTTTTTCCAACAATTTCCAATTGATGATAAAACAAAAATATAACTGAAAAAAAAATTCATTTTAAATGTTAAAAAATAAGAGATAAAAAGATCAAATTTTCTTAAATAAAAATTATTACATTATTATATTAAATATAAAATACATATATTAGTATGAAATAATAAATAATAATTTTCTTTCATCTCATGGTCATAGTTAAAGTGGAAAAAATGGACCAATTTGAACTATCATAAAATTGAACCAAATCATATAAGTGTTACAAAGGAATTGAGTTAAATTGTATAATAATTTAAATAAATTGAATTTAATTATGATATGGTTTGAGTCAACTAGCCCAAATTGAGCTACTCTAAATTGTTAAATTGTTTGAAGTATATGAATGATTTAGATTATTACAAGTAAACATTTCATTTTATAATATCATAATTTATAGTTTAATTTAATTTAAGTAATTCTATTTAAGAGTAATTCAATATTTTAAAACTAATAACATTCAGTACAACTGTTATTATAAACAATTCAATATCAACTTGGTTCAGTTTAAATATTTTTCAAGAACTCTATTCTAATACTTCTCTCCTATAGTTTACTCATACTTCCTCTATCCATTGATAATAATAAATGTTTAAGATTCTTTCACTAAAACGAAACAAATTATTTAATTTCTTGATTTTAATATAAATTTAAGTAAGTTATCTACAGGTTCTTTTAGTTTTTTTTCCTCCCGAGAATTTTCACTGAGTGATAAAAATACAATTAGAAAGGTTGTTATTTTGAAATTTTAAAAATAAGAAATGAAAAATAAAATAAAAAAATGATTATATTACTTTCGAGGGAGCAATCTAAATCATTAGCTAATTGCTGGGATAAAACAACATATAGTTATTGTTAACTTATACCACTTTCAAAATTTAACTCTTTAATATTTTAATTCCTAAGTCTAACACAACAAGGAAAGTATCATTTTATTATAATATATAAATAACATTATACTCAGATATGTGATGAATAATTTAAAATACATTTTGAAAATTGAGCCAATTTTTTATAGGTTATAAAATTTAATCATCTTTGAAAAAGATCTTCAACCTTCAATCTTTGACTTTGAATTGATGTTGAAAGGCAGGGAAACATAAAACTATAAAACTATTGTGGAAGATTAAACTTTAATAGACTTTAATGAACATAAATTGGGAATAAGTGTGCTTCTAGGAAAAAGAAATATATTCTTTCTCTTCTAAACTTCTGGAATTCTAAGTAAATATCACATCACATTTTTGGCATAATATAGTGCCATACTTAATATTCAAACTCTTTCAATACAAACTTTAATATTTAATAAAAAGATTTTAAAACAAATAACATTGATAAATGAAAGTATCTTATAAATTATATTCATAAATTATTTGAAAAGGATTTGAAAAATAAATCAAATCAAATGAAAATTTCAAATTGTTTATAGTTTTAAAAGTCCTTTTAGATCGAAAGGTTGTGTGGAAGTGGAATCAAGAGTTGTAACTGCATTGCATATGAATCACCACCATAAAACCAAAGTCCATAAATTCATTGCTTCAATTTCACTCAGTGGCCACTTCCTCAAATCCTGTGAAGAAACACTTTAAAATAAAATTTATAACATCTTATATTTTCCCGAAAAACTATTGATATTTACAATCTCAATTAAGTCACTGTTACATATCATTGGATGTATAACATCTTACAGGAATCAAAACCAAAAGTTTAATGATGACCGGTGGTTTTTAATTAGCATCCATGCTTGTTTCACATCACATTCCTCTTAAGTTACTATTTCACTTTCAATCTCCTCTGTCACCAATCTGCAACCATTTCTTTCTCCAAGTTCCATTCATGCTTTTGGGTTCGAACAAAATGGGTAAAATTGTCAATTCGACCACCAAGTCTTCACCACGTGTTGCAGACTCTGCTGTCCTCAAAAGCCATGTATGATTCAATAGTTTTATGTCATTATTCAATACCTTAATCTGGATTTGTTGGCTTGGGGGATTCAATAAAAATTGTAGTATTATAGTATTATGCTTTGTCTGCTGCATTTGAGATTACATATCTGTTAGCAATAACCATTTTCTGTTTTTAATTTCCACATTTGATAGCAGATTGAAGCTGATTATGACAGTGAGAACTTTATTATGATTGGTAGTGTTCCAGTCCCGCTGCCTAGAAAGAAAGTGAAGTTTTCACTCCCTTGGTCACCTATTACTCGTTTTAAACCAAAAAAAATCAGCAGGAGAACTCGTGCTGATTTAGAATCAGCCATTCCTAATGGACACAAATGTAGTGTACCAAGCTCTAATTTTGAAAATTCTAACTCACCTATTACAAAGGAAGTTGCGGAAGATTCTAACTTGTCAAATCCCCTCGATGAATCGCCTCATAGCAATCAATGTTGGGCGAAGAAACCTGATTCTGTCAATAAACCTCATAATAGTGGCACCAATTCAAACCATGCTGCTGCAGTTGGTGGTCCCATGTTTGATTCTTCGGTTAACAAACCAGAGTTCAGACCATTTGACATTTGCTTTCGTGGAAGAAGACATCATTGTTTAACAAAATCTGCTTTGCATGGAGAAAACAAGGAAAGTAGAATTGAGATGTATGATGAAAGATCAGAAGGGTGGGTGTTGGGGCCTGGGATGGTTCTCTTGAAAAATTTCATAAGCCATGATGGACAGGTATACATCATTTTCACTTGCTTCTGTATTTAGGATACTGTTTTGTAATTCATTTTAGGAAGATGAAATGCTGTTAATGATAATTTTAAGCTTAATTAATGTTTAGGTGGAGATAGTGAGAATTTGTCGTGAACTTGGTCTGGGTCCTGGAGGATTCTATCAACCAGGATATGCAAATGGAGCGAAACTTCGGTTGAAGATGATGTGCCTTGGTATGGATTGGGATCCTCAGACCTATAAATATGGAACGAAACGGGTATTTGACGGTAGCACCCCACCTAGTATTCCCGATCAATTCAGTGAACTAGTTGCAAGATCAATCAAAAAAGCTCAATCTCTCGCTAAAATGGAATATGGAGTTCTTCATGCGGAGGACATTCTTCCTTCAATGACTCCTGACATCTGCATAGTCAACTTTTATACAAACAATGGAAAACTTGGTCTTCATCAAGTTAGCACCTAACTTCCTACACTACATTGCTCTCCTTTTTCATTATGAAAACTGATAATATATAGTGATTATTGACTTTGACTTATTCTAAATTTTTGTATTTCTCACTGTGCTGATGAAATATAATTTTTTCGAATCTTGATATGATTTTTGGTTGGTATATATTATAAAACGGACAGACTCTGAAGAATCTAAATTGAAACTGTTTGATGCAGGATCGTGATGAAAGCAGAGAAAGTCTTCAGAAGGGATTGCCTGTTGTATCTTTCTCTATTGGTGATTCTGCAGATTTTCTTTATGGGGTTAGGAGGAATGAAGAGGAGGCAGAGTGGGTAATGTTAGAATCCGGAGATGTGCTGATATTTGGTGGTGAATTTCGACATATTTTCCATGGTGTGCCATCAGTCTTACCAAATTCAGCTCCGAAGGAATTGCTCAGAGACTCTGGGCTTTCTCCTGGTCGACTCAATCTTACATTCAGACAATATTAATGCAGTTTATTATCACTAGTTATCATTGTCTAGGTGAATATCACTTGTTCATAATCATTATAAGAGTTACATATGAAGTTACCTGGTTGAATTTAGATACTAAGTTGATTTCAATGTTATGCTTCACCAATATTATATATGATCTTGATGTTTCAAGACCTTCTGATGAAAATTCTTGTTGGCGTGAATTGTTCTAGTGACATGAATTAGGACATGGAATCACATTAGGTTATAGAGCTTTGTTTGAATGTTTATACATGAAATTTCTTAATATGTTGTGCTTGAATGAAGGTAGTAAACAGATATGTCATCTACTTCTCTCTTGACCATTTCTTAAAAACTAAAAACTGTCGGAATATTTTTAAATTAAAAAAATATTAAAACTTAACTGTAGTTTCTTATTGAAACCGTCGAAGGTTTCCTAAACCGCTAATTTTTTTTTCTTATAATATATAATTTTTGTGGTCATTTCGATTTGTAACCTTTTTTACTACACTTTTTAAGTTTGAAGTAGTGTGATTTTGGAATTTTAGGTACTTGCACCATTTTTTTTTTTTTTTAAAAAACGTTTTTTTTCTTAGCTTTCATTTAACAATTTTAACTTGTTAGAATAAAGACTACATATTCTTCGCCTCAGTTTAATCCTATTTCGGTCAATTTCGAATTTAGGTTAGTTTTTACCTTTCTTTTACTAGTTAGTTCCTAGTTTTAGGTCTTAGGTTTGTTCTGGAAATAGAAAATCAAAGCTACAAACAATATTGTATTGAAAGACCTTCTTCTAATACTATTTCCTAAGTTGTACCACCAATATAGCAGGAGTCCAGAAGAGAAAGAAAGAGTAAAGCAAGCAGAGATACTAAAGCATCAACCTCTAAATTTGTTATTTCAAATTCTCTTTTGTAAGATTGTTGGGCCATTATTTGTGGGGGAGATCAAGTAACTAATACATATATCATAGATTTCATCACACTGTATACTCCAACTCTGCTCGAATATACTTTTTTGGTTTCCTTGATGATTTCTAGTCTTTTATAACCATTGTAAATAAGTGCTTTGAGGGTATCCAAACTGCTTAATGATGTTCGCTTGGAGAGTTTTTTTTTACTAACTACAAGCAGATGGCTCTCACTGAAAGTTTATATACCAGGTCTTATAAATATAATTAGATAGAATTAACACATTATCAATTTATATGGTTTTGTTTGTCTTAACATGCTGATTCTCTTGATAAATGAAGGCTGAAGCTTCTGTATTGTCTTCGCGAGTTGCATTTTTGGATCATCAACGTTTGCTTCTAAATGTTGACAACAGTGCTTTAAAGCAAAGAATCACCGCGCTTGCCCTAGACAAGATCTTCAAATATGTACTGCTTTACATCTTATCTTCTATTATTAAACTATATCATCATCTGCATAAATCTTCTTTAGAAAACCAATTGTTGAATTAATTACTTATATCGATTTTGTAATGTTGAAACGGGGAGAGCTGAATGTTAATAAACTTCTTTAGGAAACTGCAGGCAACTGTGATTATTCATATTGAAAAAAAACCATCATCACAGAAAAATCAAACTGTACAGTGACATCAGAACTCCTATCCAAACATAACCATATCTTTAACCATATCTATAGGTAGCAGGAAAACAAAAAGCAATTAAGGACCAAGTGCCACAACTAAAATTCACATGAACATAACACTATCCTTACTAGAATCCCCTCAACGCCAACAAAGCCAGCACATCCCTCCCCTACTCCAGGCAGTAGCAATAAATGCCCCATCACCATTCACAACCCCTTTCAGGAAAACTACTTTCAACAAAAACTCCAATTGTGCCGAAAATCAATCAACGAGCTGCCTTAAATTTCCAAACCCGTCCTCACCCGTCAACAACACACTTTGTAACCCCCGCCTCACTACCACGACTGATGAAGGAAGACAATGCGGGAAGAAACACGAACACACTTACGCCTAAGAACACCCGCGATAGTGAGACAATGCGTTTGAGGAAAGGATTGGCAAGGAAGAGGCTTCGCAAGGAGAATGGGCGAAATAGGGCTTTTGGTCGACGAACTCAAAATGGGAGAGGGAAATAAAAAATTTTGGGTTTAATTCATCCAGATACTTACCGACGGCCTAGACAGTCGGTAATTTAAAATCACCACTTCATTACCCACGGCCTAGGGATCGTCGGTAAAGGGTCACTGGTAATTTCCCCCCTTTTTTAAGTGATTTTTCCATTAGCGTTTTCAATTTTATTTATAAATAAATTTGTGATATATGTATAGAGAGAGGTCCTTTTCTTTATTTTGTTTTGTAATAACTAATAGAGTTAATTATATAACTTTTCCTAAAGTTTATGAGAGTTAAAGAAAAACATGCAGGTGCTTTATAAAACTCTTACAATACTATCCACTTTAGTATAAATTAGAAAGTAATAATTGAAAGAGGAGGAGAGGTTGTGGATTTAATTTTCATTACTAATAATTTAGAGATACACAGGGTTTGAAAAAAAAAGAGTATTAATGGCTTGGTGAAATAACTTACCGCAGGCTATGAATGGACCGTCGTTAGTATCCTTTTTTTGTAAATGCATTTTTGTGTATGTTTAAAGTTTGTCTTACTTCAATTACTTTTATGTTCGTTATCTTGCATGGGTTTTATATTCCATCCGGGGTTGCTTCCCAGGCCTCAACATGATCATTAACAAGCAATATTTGAGTTCCCCTGACCTACTTGGGGAGTACTACCTGTAAATGACAAAATAAGTCTTCTGTGGGACCTTGCTAATCAGTGTGAATTAATTCAACTATACATAATTGTGTTTACATTTACTTAAATGTTTGTTTTTGTTTTTATTGTTACAAATGAAGGTGTAAGTGGAAACCTAAACAATGAACTCAAATACAAAGAAATTTTTCACATGAAAGCTTTCTCAATCGACTGTTCGAGCATGTTTAGGTCTATTTATGCCCCAAATTTAGGGAGCGCCCTTTACTCTCTTCCTTTGGTTTTGGCGACGCATTCATTTTGCGGATCACCTTTTACTCCTCATTGGAACTTCAACAAGTTGCGCAATAAGTGTGCTACCGCCCAAAGGAATAGAGCTTCTGAAAGGGTGTCACATTACTGGTGTGGTGGTTCGACTCATAGTGGTTCATGTACGTCACTGCCATGCGTCTGGTCAGGTTTCTTAAAACTGCACAGACTTTTATGTGTCGTCTGCATATATAACTTATGCTGTATCTTTGTCTCTATTTTGTTTCTCGCCTTTTGGTACTACTTCTAAACTCTACATACTGACAATTGCTGTCAGGGGCACTCGATAGCACTCTTATGGACGGCTGGCGGTGCCATGTTGGAGAGGTCGTTGGCCACAGACTTCATTTCAGAAGGGCCCCTAATTCAAGGTTCGTTTTTGCTAACGATCTCGAAGACCATGTAATCAAATCAAATGCTACTAATATTATTTCTCATTTTTATTGATTATCCCTACATTGCCTTTTAATGTTTGAAACAGGAAGATTTAGCCTCTTTATGTCTAGGAGACTTTCACAGGTTATGAGCCGTTAATCCGGGGTCAGCTCCTACACCGGAGGTGCATGCGAGTAATGAGACGACGCACACTTCCGTTCACATTGGTCGTGACACAGTTTCGTGAGGGGTGTTGACGCTGTTGTCGTTGTAGGGGACGTGGACCAAAACTTTCTATTTCTTGCTTCATAATTTCGGTGGCCTGGGTAGCTGTTGTTAGCGACAAGTCCAGTGCTCGTCCTTTCTTCGACGAATTCATTTTTGGTTGTGCTAGCGCTTCGTTTTTCCTTGTCTTCCCCTTGGTTCGTTGTTCTCGTTTGTTTGGTAGTTTTGTTTCTTGTTTTAGTTTTTGGGTTTGTTTGCAAACTATATAGCATCAAGAGGAGGTACTCTAAAGCACCAACCTCTCTTCCACCACTATTGCTGGCGAGACCCATCGAGCGCTTGACACATCTACTACAACACGTGACCAGGAAAATCATGGATTTGAGAGAAAATTACAGTGACTACCGAGTTTACAAACTTCAAGTCCTTGATCATGAGAGCGCTGCCTGTTAACGGTTGAAAATACCATGATTTGTGATATAATTTTGGTATAAATACACCCTTTTCTTCTTAGAAACTTGCTTGGAATCATGTTTTTCTATTAAGTTGTGTGAATAAGAGAGTTGAGGTTGAATTATATACATGCTTGTTATTGCTACTTATTTCCCCCCTTTACTTTTGTTTGTGGATCTAAAACTTGTTATTTGGAAAGTCTGGGATAAGTGCTAAGGGATAGAGCTCAGAAGGCTCCGAAAAGCAACCAGAAGGAAGCAAGGTCAGGCTTGGGCCCCTTTTTTTAGCCGCCTCCTCCTCTCCTCTCCCTTTAGTTGTGTGGTCGCTGCCTTGTCCCGGGTCTTGAAGCGTCCCCAGCACCAGATGAAACTTGTGGTGGCATGCGCTTCTGGAAGCTTTACAGCGCTAGGCTGTGTCGCTCACCGGTCGAGCGCAGTAGTCCCCCTTAGTAGGCTCTTGAGGAACGTCCTGAACGTAGTAATGTCTTTCTCCGAGGACGATCTCTATAATACGCGCTGTGAGCATGGAAGACCACCGCTTGCCGCTAGAGCGCCCTATGTGGGACGCTTGAGCGCCATTCTCGCGGCTTAGGCTTTGTTTCTGTTCTGCTTCCATTATATTTAAAGTACCCAGGCGTCCTAGGTTTTTGTATCTCTGGCTGGAGCAGTACACCAACACCTCTTCCACTCTCTAAAAGGCGATTTGGATGCAAAAACGTCCTTCCTCTACTTTTAGGGTTTGGTTATCTCAAGCTTTTCCATTATTCATCTAGTTTCTCCATGTCTATGGAGAACTAAACTCTATTTGTTGTTGGGGAATGATGTAACCTTGTGAACTCTCATGTTTTGAATTTATTCTTAATTTCATATGCTTTTTCATTAATTGTTAGAGTAATTCATCTGTGCTTATTACATGCTTTGTTTAACTCATTCATCGCATGATTTATAAATTGCATGAGTG